GGACTGGACTGAGTTCAACTGGAAGATTGTTGGATAGATCCACGGCGGCGCTGCTTCGCCGGCAGACCAAGACAGCGACGATTAAACAGTGTCTCGCAGTGTCGTAGATGGGCGCTGTCCCGTTGCCGGTGACCTGCCTTCTTGACGTGGCCTCCATTGGATCTGACTCATTTTCTTTATGGTTCTTTGTGGAAGTCACTGGAGCGTTAGTGGAAGCGGAGAACTGCTTGTTTGGGGCTCGACTTCGACGATTAGTCAAGTGCAGTTCCTGAACAGTTCCCTGTGGGGTCGTCGCAGCTTGCGCCATTGCAGATGTGCATAGTAGACCTGCGGGATGCTGCTCGTACTGAGAGGCGTGAGTGTACTTCTCAGCTCTGCTGCTGATCTTTGCTCCGATCGAACCGTAGTGCCAGTCTTCTCTTCCTCTCGCTTCTGCCCTGTGATCTTTGTTCTCTAGCACTCCTCTCCATCCACTCGACCATGTGGCTTCTCCTCATCCCAAGTCACTGTACATATTATCTTCCATGGCCATGTCGAGGTGGGCACACACACTGAAACTGTTGACGCCACACAGCCACTTGCTCGGCAGGCTCGGTCGATATCGCCCTTCATACGCTCCAGCACCCTTCCCCCGCTTAATATATGTCTGTTGCGCGCCGAACTCGATCGGCCTGGGCACGTGGCGGTCGCCATCAGAATGCCGAAGAGACACTGTGCACGCTGGGAGAGGTGCTCCCATCGTGTCGCACATACCAGCTCATGTAGCGGGCATATTGTGGTGACCTGCTGCGAAGAAATACGGCAGCATTGGCCTTGAGACAGTGCTGCTGGAGGGAAAGTCCCATTCCGCTTCAACGCCGCAGGAACATGAGCGGCCAGCAGTGTCGGCTTGATGAGACCAGTCCACCCATAGCCTCCCGGTTGGGTTTTTTCTGGCTGTCTCCAGGTAGTCACTCAGCTCTTGTATGTCTTGCACCCATTTGAGTAGAAACTCTGCAGCAACACGCGATGAACCGATGAGACGCGTATGCGCCGTAGAGCTTTTGTTTAGGTCTTTCGCGGTGATGATGCTGGTCATCGCCACCAAACGCTGCGCTCATGAGAACGTCCACCGCTAGATGCTTCATCAGTGTCCCATATACAGCCCAGAAACTCATGAGAAGTGTGCATCATCCCGGGTGAAGTATAAGGTTGGTCGCAGCGGCTGAGGGTCTTTCCATTGGACTAGCATGCAGTCTGATAATAGTTGGAGATCACAGAGAGGTGGGTGTACTGCATCCCGAAAGTTTGAGTCTTCTGCGAGTACAGGGCGTAGTCAGACACGGTGTCTGGGAGCTGGTGGTGAATCGATCATGCGGTCCAAACACCACCAGTGTCTTGGGCTTATGGGCAGAGGCCGACACCTAGTCGTCTTGGCTGAGCATTGAAGCCCGCCCACTCGGACAGGCTTGTCACTCTCAATGGACTTGCGACAGACAGGCTGCGTCTCGCTGGCCGACTGAAATGACTGCATTGGATTGAGCTGTGACTCTTCTGGCGGACAGAGCTTTCATTGTAATCAGAGTGGATTCAGCTTGGAAGGTCCTGTATAGTGCTGCAGCTGTATAGCCTGATGCATGGCTATGGAGTCGCTGAGAGAATGCTTCGTGTTTCTTGACTCGAGGGATCGTGAGCTGCATCACAGCGAATGTTTCCCTGTCTCGATGAGTGCCGGCAGGATGCTGGGTGAACTCGCATGCCCATGGTGTGGGTGGTTTCTCATCCATTTGTCTCGTAATGTTCAAGTCGTAGTTGTCAGCCTATATATACTATCTATGACCAGTGAATTTACATTAAAGTGTCTTATTTTGACCGTTGACCGTCATTTTGACCTTGACATTGACGCCATATTAAAAATAACTCCAGAATGGACTCCCTGGCTCTTCGAAAACCCTTAAAAAGAGGTATTACATGACACTCTAGGCTCGAGATCACAAATTGAGACCAAATCCAGAACGACGGCGGCGGCCATCTTGAATTCCAAGAAATGCTCAACGTTGCACGCAGGTAGCAACCAAGCTAAATAGCTCTCCTAACTATCATAGACACATTTCCATAAAAAAAGTTTAGAGTATTAACATTGCAGGGTCAACATTTTGGCAACTGACTAAAGGCTGCGCCTCGTGCTCATAGGGTCTTGTCCCCACCAGGGTACTGCGGAACGTACCCTGGTACGGTGCGGTATCCGGAACGTACCTGGTCACTATTTGATATGGTTAGGGTTAGTGTTAGGGTTACAGTTAGGGTTAGAGGTCGGGTCTCGGGTTAGGGAAGTAGGTGTAGGCGACTCCCTAGACTCGTTTGTGAGTAGGCGAGTACGTTCGGCATATTAGATAGCACCAGGGTACGTTCCGGTATACCGGACCGTACCCAGGGTACGTTCCGGCAGTACCCCGGGGGACATAGACCCTCTCAGCGCCACGCTCGTAGGGGAAATCCCCTACGGTAGGGGGTTTTAGCCTTCCGTAGGGGGTAGGGGATACCTACGGTGAAAACGACAATTTGTAGGGGGAATTAAGTAGGGGGTTTTTGAATTTTCAAAAATTGTAACCCTTTTTTCAATAAATATCGAAAAATCCTCAAAAATCCTCGTGCATGACTTGATGCGGGACACCGCTTACGCCGGGTCGTTGCCATAGTCACAACAGGGGCTGTAGCGTTCGAATGCAAACACATACATGCACATACAGAATCTAAGTACACAATCGATCGTATGACACTGTAGCTCCATCTTCTGAGAATTTTTAGATTTTTTGAAGCGGTGGTACGGGCGGCGTCATTAGATACGTGAACACTTCAAAAGTTCAAAGTTTGCTGTCGGACGAGGAGCAAGCACTCAGGGCTGCCAACTCTCACGCATTGACGTGAGACTCACCGCATTTTTGACCAAATCTCACGCTCTCACTGCTGACAATATCTGATACAATATCTCCCGCACAGAAAAAAAATGCTCAAAATATCTCACGCAGCCAGGCAAAAAAATCTTACAATATCTGAAACAGTCACTTTGTATATATCCAAATTGCACAAATTGAAGTTTACTAAAATGCAAAAGCTCCCTACCGTGGGAGTGGGGAAACAGGGGGGAACACCATCTCCCCCCCCCTCGGTCGCTTCACTCCCTCGCCTCTCACTCCCCTATTACCCAATGTTGGCAGCCTGGAGTACTGAGTGTTACTCTGTAGTAAGTTTGGCACTTTAATTTGCAGCATTATAGCGCTGTATTTTATTATAATAAATCTGCTTAAAATCAAATTATATATTCAAGAGTGAGATCTTCTAATTTACTGTTGTTTATATATATGTGCAGCGCTTGACACAGCCGGTCGCCCACTCGCGCGCGCGAGTAAGCTTCTCCTGGGCGATCTGAAATCTCATCACTGCTGCGCAGCGCTGCAGCTGGCCCAACCAAGGTAACAAAAACACAGAAAAAACCTGTACTAACAACGCACCCACACCACCGCTGCAACACACACCACACACACACACACGACACCCACACACGCACCAGCGACACACACACGCACACACCCTAAGCGCCCAACCCACACACCACACACCACACACACACACACGCACACACACAGCCCACGCACCACACCACAGCACACACACGCCACACCCCCACACAACCGCACACACACACATCGCGCACACACACACACACACGCACACACTACACCGCGCACACGCACACTCACACACCCACACATTCCCTGTCCCCCGCTGGATTTGCGCCCTGGTGTGTGGGCGTTCGTCTCTGTGCGTCTGTGTGCGGGCTCTGTGTGGGCGTGTGTGGGAGTGCGCGTGTGCGTGCGCGTTGCGAGTGTGTGTGCGTGCGTGTGCGTGCCGGCTCGCGTGGCGTGCGTGGCGTGTGCGTCGCGCTCGGGCTGCGCCTTCGAGTTCCGGTGTTACCTAATTCGATCCCCCCCGCAAAACTCGCTGGACGATCTGCAGCCCGGATATCCGCGCGAAGCGCGAACAGCGCCGCCTCGCGGCGCCTTTTGATCGAATTTGCTGCTCTATATTTAGAACAATTTCTACGGTTCTGTCATATCGGCCTATAATCGGTCAATTGAGGAGTTGTGGCGCTTGCAGAAGCCTTTCGACTATGCACGTAGGGCGAGAATAAATCCAAATGCTCGTAAATGCTACCTTGCTGGTTGGCGCTTTAGGTTTTCCTCTAGAAAAGCGATTTTCAATTTATTGAATTTCACGCCCTGAACTTATTCTCGTACATATGGCGTCCCATAGATGGCGCGACGAGGCTCTCTTCGAGGGATTTTCCAGAGAATTTTCCACACAAGGAACGGCGATTCGGCTTAGACTGCTCCGCGGTGGAGAGTTCGACACGCTGCACTAACTATAACTTTAGTGTAGCGAAAGATACTTGGCCGAGTTAAGCTCCGTACCAGTCTAGCTGGAATCGTGACGTCGCTTTTAATTCTCGTAGCCATGTTGGTTCCCCTGACGTTCATTGGCTAAGCCCGTTGATTGATGTTTGTTTAGACTGAGAATTCCCACTAGACGTTCTCTGGCAAAAAGAACCCGCCGCCGTGGCGTCAGCCGCAGCAGCAGCCGTATGTGCTCCCACAGCAGAATCAGTGCGGGCGTCTGAAGGTCTACGAATGTTAAGAATTAACCGCGCAAAACCTTTCTGCATTTAACGTTGCGCAAAACTTTTTCAATATCCGTAGGTGAAACAGAGTAGGCCTAGCCTATACGGCTATAGTATAGAAACATTAAGAATTTTGTACTAAGTAAATACATTTACCGACTGTTGGATGAGTATTTCTTTTTAAATCGTATGAAATACAGCGAGTGTATTTAGTTAGCATTATATTCTATTGAAACGCTTCAAGTGCCTGTGCCTTCAGTCTATGGAAAACTACCAAGGTCGGAGAGTTGCGCCGTCACGTACACGCGCCGGCGAGAGAGCGCGCGAGCCGAAGACGTTTGCGCCGTTTGCGTTATCACGCGCGGGACAGCTGAGCGAGGCGGCGGACGAAGGGGGAGCGGCTGATCTACACTAACGTACCGGCACAGGTGGGAGGAAAGCACTAGACGCTACCGGACAGTACAGGAGAGCCCGATAGAAAACGAGGAGCAGCTCAACACAACCCCGCATCATGCAGGAGGGTCTAGGGAGAGCCTCGAAGTAAACTTGGGTAGCCCAGTCAATCAACGAAGCAGACGCACTCCGAAATTCACGCGACATTCTTGGACAGGCTCAGACGAGGACGACGATCAAACTCCGCATGTAGCCGGACAAGCAATGCCTGCTTCCAGCGACATGTCACGCAAGACGAAAAAAGAAGAGTCGGATACAATTCTTCGGATTCCGATTCGGATTGGAATTTCGGATTCGGAAGAAAGAAGAGAGCGGCAGTAAGAAGATAGCGCAAGTAAGCGGGCTATAGTACTACAGCTAGTCTCTATACGATACTCCTAGGCCGGGATATTGCAGCGTAACCATGTCTCCCACAGGCCTCAGTAGAATAATATATATTGCCGTGAAATTGGACTATTTCCCCCTTTTTCCGTTGTGGTGTTTATTAGCTCTTCATACATATACATATATATACATCAGTACTATGTTATAAGAGCAGAATAATTCCTTATAGTAACGATTACAACTATTAGTGAGTCTACGTAAATATGAAAGTTCATGTTTAATTTGAACCGTTTGTTACTATCTCTACTACTCTACTAATTCTCTACGACAAGTAGCTAGGGGGGGCCTACAGAGTTTGTTAGTAGTTAGTACAGTACAGTAGACAGTTATAAGTTGAGTTCTCCTGTTTGTGTTAGTTTGAGATTTGTAGAATTCTATTGCTTAGTTGACTCAATATAAGCCACATACAAGCGTGTTATGCTAGTGTTAGGATGAACATCGTATGATATTTATTATCATTATTATTATTATTGTTGTGACTACAATTATTTTCATTATTTCTCTGATCACTATGATTATTATGACTGTTATTGTTATTATGCTATTATTCCTTATTATTTTAATGTTTTGCATTGTTGTCGTTTGGGGACATACAGCGTATGAGCGTGACTTCCTTTCTGTACCCTTTCACTGTTAATGACCCTCTGAGGCATGCTAACTTGCTTGTAACAAGTTAGCATTGTTACGTTCAGCGGCTTCTGTGCAATTAGCCGTATCAGTAATTAACCAGGCAACCTTAGCACAAAGGCCCTGGTGGTTCAAGTTAGAAGACTGGATACCTGTACATTGCAACACAGAGCATCAGTGTGCACACATAGACAGCGGGCGACACAGAGACAGTTCTCGGAATATTTGCAATGAAGTTACAAATCTAATTAGCTTGCAAGAACACCTCAATGCACCTGAGCGGCTTCATTTCTATTGCCCTAAACTTGTCGACTCTTCGCTGGCAGCTATGGATCCGTGCGCCGCATTCGGCGCACGGATCCATAGCTGCCAGCAGTGCATAGATGTGCACGACGTTCCCGCGGTCGCGTGCGCCTTGCCGCGGAACTGCGCGCAACATCTGCGCTTATAGCGCTTGGGATTAACACCTCCTTTCGGCAACGCTTCTCTAGTATCCCGTCTCACCTGGTTACGGGCCTGATAAAGGTTATCAAAATCACAATTTACTATGCTACATTAATGCCTTTGTTATAAAATGATTGATATAATGTGTTTTATTGTATGAAGTGAACATTTAGTATATCAATCGGTAGTAAAAAATTCAATTAAAAATTCAAGTACAAAAATTCTGAATGGTAAACCAGCTATATAGTACATGGAGACATTGCGTTCATATGCACTTTCCTACTCTCTTTCAGTCCAAAATGTCACAAACTGAAATGTAATATAACGAGGTGTTTACAAAAATAATTTTATTTCAGGCATTTGTCCGGCTAAATCATCTTGGCCTTTGTCTGGGAAAGGATGGAACGAGATCTGCAGTAAACCGAATTAGAAAGTCATTTGACAACGACATTCTTCGCTGCAAAGATCATGTTACAGCCGTTATTGGCACATGCCAAAAACCAGCCAGAAGAAGGTTATTTGATATCAACGGTAAGAAAACTCCTTTCACAGAGAGAACATTGTCGTTTAGTGCCTTTTTTGTGGATTTTTAATTCCTGAATAAATCTGAAAATCATACCAACACATGTTTTAACAAGTGTGACCAATGAATAATTTGATTTTTTTACATGCTAAATTCATTTTACGTTTTCTTCAATTTTACAAGCTGTTTAAAATGTATTTTATTTTTCTAGATAATGGTGCAGATGATGATGACATAATGTACGACGTATGCGTTTGATTCGGATACTGCAGACGATTTAGATGAAGGTTTGAAGATATGTTATATACATTAATTTAAGTTTAATTTTAAATTGAAGTTGATGTACTATTGATAAATTTTATTTCTTCACTTGATTCCTCAAAGATTTAATTTGTTGTATTGTTTAACTTAATTAAATATTCTCACTTTCCAGCAGATTCATTCATGTTCCATTCTTTGCATTCACAATACATTTAAAAGTACATTTATAAATACTGTAGGAATGATGGGAGTTTTATTTGTATACTTTGCAACTAGTTATGTAGCTATCTTTATTTAGGGAGACTGTATTAAATCTTTAAAAAAATTGATTTTCAGATGCAGCAGAGGAAATACTACGAGCAGACCTGGCAGAAAGAGACTTGGCGGAAGGCTCGCCAGTAGACGATGTTGCTGAACAAGTAAGTAACATAGATCAAAATGTATAATCACCAACATTTTAAAATCTGAAGTAATATGCAAATGTGAGCAAGTCCATAGTTTAAAATTATTTGTTATATTGTTAAGTTGTTCTGTTATTTTTATATATACATAGGCAAATGACGAAACACAAGAAACGCACAATCAAAATTGTGCGTACAGCATTGTGTTTGACAACGTAAACAGTCATTTGCGTGCACACCAGACGTCAAGGAAAACTGGCAATGTCATGAAAAACATGGTCCAGGCGTACGTTGCAATTGACAGAATTCCAACGCTACACCTGTCAGACCTGGCCCCTTCACCGGAAGAGGTGGAGATGATACCATGCAGCATCTTCATTCGGAGTGAAACAGAAAATAGGACTATTCGGTAGGAATAGGAATGACATTGTTGTTAATCCAAATTAATTTTCAAAATACTTCTTCAACATATATACAAAACTTAAATTTTTAAATACATTGTCCATCAACATTGGCAGCAAAGGTTGAAGTAAAATATGTATTTTCCATATATTGCAGATCTGACTATGTAACAGTAGTAAAGAAAACACTAGAAGAACATCTCCCTTTCTTCCATAAAGAAGTGTTTGAAGAAGAAATTAACCTGCACATGCATGCAGAGAATTCTAAAAAGAAAAGTCAGCTGGTGAGATTTGTTAACAATATTCTCTGGGAAATTTTTAAATTCCTTGTTTAAAAAACCACGTACAAACATTTTCTTAACGGTTGGGTTCATCAACCTTTCTAATGCATAAAATCCGCTAATGTTCAGTCATACGTAGCATTAGCCAAAAATGGTTCACACTTAATAACCGTACTGGTCCAAGTTGAGCTATTAAAACGTAAACATTATGTAATAAAAAATATTCCTAAATGAGGTACATGTTTTGTCTGCGAAACTTTTGTTTTAGATTCCATTAGGGGTACTTGACAAGGATGAAAGCAAAATCACCGAAATGATAGATATCATGGAAAGCTATCATGATTACGTTCCTGTCGGGCTGAGTGACGAACCTGTGGTTATTCCATTGTATGGCGACGGTTTAAGTGTAGAGAGAGGTTATGATGCCAAAAATGGACGCATCAACGCTGGTAGTGCTTGGGCCCAACTGCAAGGGCTCCATCCGGCAATACAGGAGTGGCACAAGCGCGGTATTTTGCTACAGGTAAAAAAATACTACCAGTCTCAACTCTCGTTTCGATCATATAATAAACCTTAGTAGTAATTGTTACATGCAATTTCGATTTCCGGAATGTACTGTAAACAAATTAGTGAAGAACATTCAGTAATTCATTTACACTAAATAAATCACTTGACCTATACGATATGTAGTTTACAAATGTTGACAAACCGTCTTGTATTTTTACATCTGGAGTTATTTATTGTTTGATGTCATTCTTTACAGGATACATTCAGGCTGCTATACTCACAGAAGAGTGCCAGAAGTGTTGGAACATTGCACTACATACGGAATGCTTATCGGCAAGTTAACGTAAAAGCTGAAGTGTCCCACTGTTTTAATGAAGCGACGGAGCTGTTGAGATTTGCTACAGAAGCTTACATCCTAGCCACATCATTGAGTTTGATGGGATGCAGAACCGTTTCAGAGTCACCTAAAGACCTGCCAACCGAAAGCTGTCGTCTAAGCAGTTATCTCAATGACATTTGTGAAAAAGTGGTTGACATTTGTTTTTATCCACCAAACACTACCGCTGTGATAAATGCCAACACGTCAACAGATGACAACTACAGGTATTGTGTGTGCAAAAATGATTCTGGTGAAGGCATGGTTATGTGTGACAACAAGAAGTGTAAGAATGGAAAATGGTTCCATTTGTCATGCATGAGCATAATGAATGACAGTGATGTGCTGCACAGAGAATGGTACTGTTCCAGGGCATGTGAAACGCGCAACAGTGCCCCACATGAAGTAAACGACGACCTCACATTTAAATACACGCAGGCACTATTGTGGAAAGGCATCGGTGAAATGGTTCGTCACAGGTCGAACAATGGGGATAAAATGACGGCCTACTGGAAGGAGGATATGATTGAATTCTACGAATGCAATCACACAAAATACTTCATATGTGGGCACCGGTTGCTGATGGACACACACGGCGCATTGCCACCGAGAATGGCCCACGAATTAAAGTGGAACAGAACTGTTAATGTCCAGGGAGGAAGTAACAATAACATAGAAATGGATCTGATGATGGAGTTCTACAACAAGGAGTTCAAAGGTTAATGTAGTCTCAAATTACCTTGATTTATAAATGTGATTCTGTAACTATGGTGGTAACTGAACAGACACAGATGTAATATGCCAATGATGTCGCCAACAAATAATATATAACGCATAACAAACGCGCAAAAACATTTGTTATTTTCATATTAAATGAAGTTTGCCAAGATTTTGATAGAGAAGGCACATAGAATAGGAATAGTTAATGAAAAGTATTGTATTGTAGAATACAATTTGAATTTCCTGTGATACGATTACATGATCATTGCGTACTTTGGTTGCAATTTTAGAATCTGTTAAAGATGCAGCAGGAAACCTATCAGAAGCAACCATAGCCTGACATGGGGAAATGATAGGGATTGGAAAAGAATTAGGCAGTATTATGGACAACATTTGCGAAATTCCCACACAACGTACCAGGAAAAGGACATCAATGAAAAAAGTGGAGGACCTTTACCATTTGGTAGAAACTCTAGTCAAACATAAGTGCTGTGTAAAAAATCAAAATCCACGATACCATCAAGGATATGGGGATTTCATCTTCAATACTTCGTGCTCAAATCCTGTTGCCATGCGTAAATGCATCAACAAGCATATAAGGAAACGAGTCAAAAGGCTGAAACTGATAAATGCAAGGTAAAAACATACTGGTAAAATATTTACACCATCATAGCTTAAGAAAGATACAAATGAGAAAATATTACAAACACAAACTGATGATATAAGGCAAAGAAGAATTTGATGCATTACTGTGACGATTTCTACCATTTATTCTTCCAGATTTATTATTATTCTCACCCTAGCATCTAGAATTTTGATGCAACCTTTCCCGAACAACAGCATTTCTTAAAACAAATGCTGCAACATGAACATTGTTCACACGAACATAACTCACAGTCATTACTCATACATTTTCCTGCAGTGAGAATATCAACTGTCATTCCCTTGGACACAAACAATTTTAGAATTTTTGTTCTGTAACAGATGTCCCCGGTAATGGTTTGTTTTAATTCCTCATCAGAGCACAGTAGCAGAGATCGTGCATACGGATATGTGATGGAATGATTTTCTGCCATCTCTTCCACACCTGCCTAGCTCTTGCCAGAAAGTCATTACTGAAGACGGAATGCCCCAGTTTATTACTTGTCCGATGTCTGGTATGTCTATACCCATTCCCAATGCAACGGTTGCACACAGCATACGAATACTGCTTGCTGGTTTCTTTATTTCAGAGAGAATACGATCACTCGTTTTTTCATCCGTTCTGCTGTGGTACATTTCAACCATTCTATTACTTATGGTTTCCTTACCACATTTGTACGCATAGGGTCCTAACTCTTCCATGAGCCACATGTACATGAACTCGCAGTTGTGCAAATTTCTACAATATACAATTGTTTTGGGTGCCATTTCCTGTTTAGTAGTAATCATATCTACGATCCATTTCAGTTCGCCTTCCATGTTCTCTTTTGGCGAATCTTGCACGTAGATGAAAATGTTTGCTCTAAAAAATACACAATTGTTAATGCAATTAACAGTTTCAAACATTAAACAAATTTGTAATTAATTTAAAATATATATCACTGTTAAGGTACACACAGAAATGTCTAAAAACGAATTTCACAACGGTTTACCTGTCTGGAAGAGTAGCAACAACTTTGGTATCTTCTGTGAGGCCAAGTAGACTATATAAATCCTCTTGTATGTTTGCAGAGGCTGTAGCAGTCAAGAGAAGCGTTGGGCAGCCACAGAAAATGCTAACAATGTCAGCAACCTTCCTGTAATCGGGTCGAAAGTCCAGGCCGCATTCAATGAACCCCGTTCTGTCCCAATAACCCTCACCAAAATATAAAAAAGGTTATATGGGACAGAATTATTCGGTCTAATGCCGGCACTGCTGCCTTGTGCAGTGAAACACAAACTGGTCGGCACGTCGTGCGTATTGCGTTAGGTTCATTTCTTCATCGCAGTTAGCGCATAGCTGGACCCTCTTGATGAGCCCTACTGACTGTAAGAATTCGATGGACTCCTCGACTGTCCGCGTACTTATATTAATGTCTCTTAAATTAAAACCGCGTAAATCCGGGTAGGGGCCATGCTGCGCCATAGTGACGATCTTGTCATGAAATGAGACTGAGTGAAATTTAAATGTGTTTGGAACGGTGATGGGGGGGGGGCGCATTTCGATCGCCAGGCAAGAATGTCAGAAATTTCAGCGTGCAGTCATTGGCTGGCGGCAATATCAAAGGTTCGAACGAAACAGTGTAATACACGTACGGTTAGCGAATTCGATGCCAACGGTCAGCCATTCGAAAATGGACGACGAAAGAAAGAAGATGGTTGACGAAGAGTACGAAAAAATGAAGAAGGCAGGGGACCATTTGACCCCCAACTCATTATACCGGGCAATAGAAGCGAGGCTTCCAGCAGAACTAAAGGGTATGTTTTGCCAAAATATGGTTACTGGATGTTAAGATCTATTCTCCTCCTCCTCTCTATCTCTCCTCCTTAAGATGTTAAGATTAAATTTCGCCGACTCGAGTTAGCTCGAGCTCGAGCTCGAGCGTTAACTCGAGTTAGCGATTCTGTAGCGTCTACACGACATCAACCGATAGCGATTCTTACCGATTTATTATGCATGCGTGCGTGCGTGCGTGTGTACGTAAACGTGCGTGCGTGCGGGCGTTTGGATGTATACGTGCGCGCGTGCGTACCTGCATATGCACGTACACATGCGTGCGTGCGTGTGAACGTAGACGTGCGTGCGTGCGTGCATGCGTGCGTGCGTGCGTGTGCACGTACACGTGCGTGCGTGCGTTTGCACGTACACGCTCAAGAATAAGTTTAAATACGAGAGGTCTCCTCTGCAAGATGAAGATGTTCTGAAGAAGAAGGCATTGTATGGCCACAAGAAGGCACCAATTGATCCCAACCAGCCACCCTCCCCAGTGAAACGAGCGAAGCGGGATTCTTTAGCCGTATGCATAACATTCATAATTGTTTTTTATTATGTATCTACTAACCAGTATGTAGTTTAGAATTCGCCTGATAACACTTCCTGTTTATTGTTAGTATATTGTAACAAGAACCTATAGGAGAACATTTGGGCTAGTAGTTCCTAACTGTAACAAACAATTGGAGCATTTGAATCCTCACCCTGAGTACATCTTAAATTACATGGTGTGTTTAATCCACATCTGTCTAGTATCAACCCAGGTGTACATGTAGGTGGATAACTAGCAGGGATAATTCCATAAATAATCTGTGCACTTGAGAAGCTTATTATTCTCTGAGTGCATAGAGTCATATCTTGCATGTATAGGCCCCTACTTGTTTATATGCTATAAAAGAACTGTGTTATAATTTAAAACGAATTATATTTCTGTAGTTATAAGGTTACAGATACACTTGTCTGGAGGTGGTCTTGAGTTACATTATCACTTGCAGGTACCCTTTCAGTTTTAACATAGATTACTATAATCTCTATTCTATCAGTGCATTTACTTATAATTCCTACACTGCTTTGATGAAAATGAAAAAATTCAATTTCCAGTGCTTTCAACATTCTATAATTCAATTAGGAAACTCAGGAAGGTGAAGATGCCGCAAGCATTCAGCGACACATACATGATCTGAAGCTCTTGGCGGCAAGGCAAAACCCAGATGTGGGTATAGTGAAGGACAACATGCACAGAACAAGGGGCTACAGGATAGAGTATATAGCCAAGCATTCAGTTGTGGAAATTCTCCAAGAATTTCCAATTTTGAAAGCAGAAACACAGGTAGGAAATACCACAATGCTAATATTTTACATACCATTAACCCAATTCAGAACATGTGTTTTTTGAGAGTATGCTGTAACTGGGGAGGGGGGGGGTCACTGTATATCAACTTTCCTTCATAAAAACTAATGCCGAACGGTCCCGTACTCGCCGCTGCGAGTGTGCTGTGGCGCCATGATAATATATATATAGAGATATGCATTTCATACATGATACATTTCCCTACTTCTTTTCTACAAGCTCCTAGAGCAACTTCAAGCCGCATTTGGAGGAAAGGATGTTCACGCTTCACTCTACAAGTTTTTTCTCGGTGCAGCAGATGGCATCATGGAGCTGGCTGAGAAAAACAGCGACACTAAAGGAATACGTGAACTGTTCACATCAGTGTTGGAAGAATGCACATCTGACAAGAAAAAACAAGGTTATAGTTTATTACTACCTTTTTAATTAATTAACTCTTTGTATTAGTACTGCTGGGAAAAATTCTAGATAAAATAAACTATTTTTTATACCACATATATAATGCATGTAAAGAGGAAATTTACGAGTAGTAAAGTTACATCACTACAGCTTATAGAGCATGTTCCTGATTATCTTTCTGCATGTTTTGATTCCATTATCAAGACAATTTATGCTTCTTACATGTATTGTCGCATACTTTTGTACACACGATTTATGCCTCCGTCAAACCTGAAGTGTGCTGGGGGCATTATTACCGCGATATTTGGAGAACCCTTTGGTGGATTTCAATCGTACCTGGACCAGGTGTAAAGCAAGAAGTGTGGATGAACTGATTATATTTTGGATGTAATATGTCATAGGGTATTGACATTTAAAAAATCTCCGATATATGGGGTAAAATAATCCGGCTCCTTTAGAGTTAAGGACAATGCAGTTCTAAAGATAGTGTGCAGTACTTGAAGTAGAATTTCATCGTGACTGAAAATGCCTTGAAACCATTAATCATTTAGAAAATGATATACAACAATGCTGTTGGAAACAGCGGATCATTTTTAATACAATCAAATGTCCTAATAAACCAGCATGTTGACTGTGTGCACACACAGATATGCATAATAGCACATTGTTAACCATTGGAGTAATTGTGAATTCGGAATGTGTTCAACTTCAAATTTTAAAATTACGAGCTCAATTTGAGGCGACTAATTTTCACTACACAACTAAAATATAATGTGTTTTTACATTGAAATGAAACAAATCTGGACAAATTCTCTTCCATGACCAGTACCCTATATTCTCTGTAAGAGCTAGAAAGGTTGTTTCATATTAGCACCCCCATTTATTTTTGACATGTATGTAGTGCGGGGCTAAGATTGTCGTAGACATCTTTAAGCGAGAAACAAACACTGGAGTTTAGCTGTAGTGAGATTTTAATATAAATCATGGCGGCAGCAACGACAACAACAACGACTGCGCATGCGCGCTACATCTATAATGATCATGACGGAAATCGGCAATGCGGAAACGGAAACGGTACATATTTATCAATTTTACTGCCAACTGTTTCGCAAGTATGCATTGTATCTAAAGTGAAAATATATGCATTTGGAGTTTCTTTACACCTTTCGACCAAATAATTATTGAATTTACATTATCAATTTGCTGATTTTGTTTGCATCTTTAAAAATTAGCATAAAACTCAAACTTCAATTTCCTCATAGATCTGACTGTGGATGCAGGGTGTCTCCTCCTCCAACTACTGCTAGGAGAAAAGGAACAGACTTATGTCATCAATAAGGTATCTAGATACAAGAAAATTGTATCCTATTACATTACAGTAAAATTCACAGATATGGCCGAGTTGCTAATATGGTAAGAAATGCAGATAGTGATGACAAATTGAGATTGGCAAAACCATGCAACTTCTGATTAGGTAGGAGCATGCATGTAATAGTTCCACAGTAAGCCAAAAATAAGCTCTGTTAATCCTAAAAGGACTGTGATGCCCCCCCCCATAAATCTTACTGTGCTCCAATATAGCAAGGTTTAAAGATTGTGTCATTTATTGCTCTATGGATTACATTTGAAATAAGTTTACCAAACCTTATGAAAATTAGAGAATATTTTAATGTACATGTGATATTTATAGTTGAGAAAGATTGTTTACTTCATTTTGGGGGCTTTAACCCGTTTTGGTAGATATGTAGGTCACAGCAAACTACAAGTACTAGTTAAAGTGTTCCATGATTATATTTAAAGCAAAGTTTTGTTCAGGATGACAATATCACTCCTTTGTTTTATTTGCTGTGTGATACAAATGTTACATGTTCATACTAAATAACGTATGAAACGTATGAAATTGAAAGAACCTGTTTACAAAGCGGAAGGGTGACATTAGGTTGCTTTCTTTTTCTTATGTTTTGTAATGCTCAGTTCTATTTTGAACCATACTTTGTTTTGGTAGTTTGAAGATAAAGGCAATAATTTTAAGGCAGGGCTGTCTGTTTTCTGCTTTTTTTGTCTTTCCAGGATCCTGTAGTGCCAACGCCTACAATGGTCATCAAAGGGAATCCGTTCGATACTGAAGAAATCTACATCGACATGGATGGCACAGTAGTGTGCACTTGTTCACATTTGTCGACAGGCTTTGCAGCAACCTTCGCTGCTTTTTTTATTTTTGGGACAGAGTATCCCCGTAATAGTAAAAATAGTCTTCTCCTATATGAGCAACAATTTGCTGATCTTGGGACCGACAAAGGTTTGCCCACTAAAGTCCTACGGTTCCTGACTAACATACACAAGTAAGCTAAAGTGATTTAAATCGCGCCAACCCTGTTTTCTCGACACTGATGGAACAAAATTTCAGTTTCATAAAGTAATTTCTTTGATCCTAAGGATTTTTTTTATAACGCGTCTAGATACGTACGTGTATTCGACTTCACCATATTGTATCAATAGTTTTTATCATTTATTGGTGAATTGATCATTAACATTAGTCCAAATGTGAGGTGATTATTTGATGTGAACTCAAAAACTAGTTAAAATTACATTTATTCAGAAAATATCAGTTCTTTGTTCAAGATGTCACTTTAAAGTGATTATATTTAAAATCACTTTGTACATCAGTTTTACATTGTCATCGTCATTATGCACCTATTACAATATTGATGATTTTGATGATACACGTATAACAGTGGACTCGTTATAAAGAACACTGATATATGTATAACAAACTCTCGTTGTAACAGTGATTTGCCTGGTTCCTAAGCTCCTAATTTATATATATATATATTTTTTTAGTAACCTTGATATAACAACATTTTAATATAATAAAGTAATTTCACTGGTCCCAAGGAGTTTGTTATAACGAGTCCACTGAACATGTATTTTTTTTTTATAGTTCATGTACAGTTTAGCTTCTAAGGTTTATTGTAATGCATGTATGTGTATTGTATCATGCAGTTTTCTTCTTGCTGATATATTGTTTGTTACTTGTTACTTGTTTGAAGAGCAATATTGTTTCCTCAGAAATAAATTGCAATACTCCATATACATAGTATTTGTGTGTTTATTTTTAGCTGTCATCAAATTTGCACCCCTTAGGGTGCAATTATTAGCCAATATGGTGCAAAAATGCACCCTATACTGGGGTGCAATTTCCCACCCTATACAGGGGTGCAATTTTCAACCCCATTGGGTGCAAAAATGCACCCTATACTGGGGTGTAATTTCCCACCCTATACAGGGGTGTAATTTTTCAACCCCATGGGGTGCAAAAATGCACCCTATACTGGGGTGTAATTTTCTACCCTATACAGGAGTGTAAATTTTCAACCCAATGGGGTGTAGCTATTGTACCAACCCCTAGGGGTGTAAATCTCAACCTTTATTTCTTAGTGTGTAGACGAGGCTTATAATGGTTATTTATATTACATATTGATGCATTTATCGCTGTGTGTGTGTGTGTGTGTTCGAATATGCTGCCAAACTAGGACCTGACAGGACCTGGCATATGAAAACACACCAAACAACTCAGGACTTCAGTGACAACCTAGGACCAAGTCCTAGGTTGTTTTTGGCTTAATATTTTCCTAGAAAGCTCAGAGGGTTGAGAGTAATGTTATAAGATCTAGTCCTTATTTGGTACTTCTCATCAACTGAACAATTAACTCACGTGAATGGGGGGGGGGACGTGTGTGGGACGTCCGTGTGCGTTCCAAAGCAGTCTGTTTAGCAAGCTAGCAGCTAAGTGACGTCAGAGGGTATTTAGCATGCGCAAGCAAGGCACGTGGTTGCCTGCGCACCAATGGGGTATCTATGGTCCCACCGTCCCAGTGATTTATGGGATATCCATGGCGCGCATTTTGTTGTTGCTACTTACTGCACGTTTCCTATGGTAAGAGTATTTTTAACATATAAGGCTACTAGTGAGTAGTGTTTCCACTATTGTACCATGTGTATAATATGTAACATGTATGCAGGCGACTTACAGGTGATCTAATATTAGTAATAATTTTGTTGTTGCAAATTAAAAGGCCTGTCTCCACAGATACACACCACGGCATGGCACAGCACGGCAGCCGCTCTAGTAGTACTAGTATGCCTATACTATAGTATAGCCACAGGCACTTGAAGCGTTTCAATAAAATATAATACTAAATAAATACGAAATCTATTTACTACGAAATTCTCAATGTTTCTCTGCTCTCTTTCACCTATTATTACGGCTAGTTTCCTGTAAATTCCGTCCAAATCCTCTGCGCGAATTATCACCTCACACACAATAGTATAGGTACAGTACTTTAAGTATATACTATTACTATATACTCCTACTTTATATTAGTAGGTATAGTACTCACATCTGCGCGCATGCACATGCACACACCTACACGTAATGACACAGTAGACCTAGTAATTTACAGTAGGCCCTATACAGTAGTTATGTAGTTGCTACGGTACAGTAGGTCTTTACATTACAGTTTATGATCTCATATTAGAATATTATCATGTTACATTTTAGAAAATGGAAAGAAAGAAGGTAAATCCAGATGAGACGGGATACAAGAGAAGCGTTGCCGAAAGGAGGTGTTTATCCGAAGTGCTGCGCGATCTTGCGCGCAGTTCCGCAGCAAGGCGCACGCGACCGCGGAAAATTCCTACGACAGTATGCAGCGCTGGCAGCTATGGATCCGTGCGCCGAATGCATAGGCCGCGCACGAATCCATAGCTGCCAGCGCTGCATACTGTCGTAGGAATTTTCCGCGGTCGCGTGCG